GCGCCTCTAAAAATTCAAAAACATATTTGTATTAGGCACTTCTTGTATTATAAATCCAACCTATTCATCCTGTAATTGACATAGTGAGTGACCTCTCAAAATCGGGAAATAGCGATTAGGTTTTGAGCAATTGCTATAAAGTGCGTTAACATTTGTCTACAGCATATTTTTTTGGGGTATAGGTTTTAATTAAGATAATGGATTTGGGGGGACGAAACATTCCCACCCAAACTAACGTTGATTTAGCTTCTGTCCTTCATATCCCTAGTTTGTCCTGTAAAACCTCTTATCTGTAAGTGACCAGTCAACAACAATATTGTTACTATGAAGGCCAGTGCATAAGTGCCAAGTGCTAAACAGCTGCTACAAACTGATCGCCATGGCAGAAATGTACATGAAAGGAATCATTTATCTCTTAGTTCCTTTACCTTACAATTTTCTTGTTGCGTGTTTTGTGCTAGGAACTGCTGAAAGTTGAAAACCTAGGAGGAAAACAATGAACGAAAGCGGTGGCTTTGGTAGATGGCCATGATGGCACAGCATCGTAAATTTTTTTTCCTTCAGAGGAAAAAAGGGATTGGTAAGCATTTTAAGGCTTTATGATAGTTATGCAGTTTTGTTTCGTACGACGTTAGCAAGATTGGTTAGAGAATAGTTGTATACTCATTAAAGGCCATTCAAAGGGGTGGTTGAAATGTGACTAGTCAATGATTTTTATCAAATAAACAATATAAAACAATATAATGTAGCGCGTTAGTAGGGGCGAATTTTGGTGAGGGAGCATCCTTCTTTTATTTACCTCACGGTTGTAAAAGAAAAATGTAGATTGTATACTCTAGTGCGTTTTTAGTTTTGAGCCGTAATAATATTGTGTCATAGAATTAGTATACAGTCTTTGGTAAAGATGTGATCGGCGTTTGACTCGGAATTCAGGAAGGACTTACAGAACCGTTTTGCTTTGATAATCTACTTCGGACAAAGGAAATATCTATATCTTAGTCGCTGTGAAGTATACTATTCCGGGCATAATAATAAAAACAGTATGCCAGTCTACGCTTGTTTCACCAATAGGAACTGAAGTGATAAGCGACTCTTTTCAAGGATAGGATGTTAATGTGGGTGTAAACCTCTTACTCCTTCTTCATTTCCATTGCTTTCCTCTTCAAAGGCTTAATTATATTCTTGACAGTTCTAGTTTAAAGGGGGTTTTGTTACCTTCATTGATTGTTGGTGGTGGTAGATGTAAGGCGTGGGGTTTACTGTGACCTGAGCGCAAGCAGAAAAAATGTAAGAGATCGAATCTTTTCATTGCCTTTTATAAGACATGGGCTCTTATTTCAGCTATACTTGCCATATGTGGATTCATAAAGTAATTCGAAGTTACTAGGATTTTGATGCAAATATGTGATATAGAACATTCAATTCCTTTGGTAGCAGACTACCTGACTAATGTGCTAGAACAAAAAGTCAATGGGAAACATGTTGATACATATCTTCCGATGTGTTTGAGTATCTGGTTTTACTGATGGTGACGAACAACTATTGAATTTAGAATTCGTCGAGAGAGAGACTGGTTGAATCATACATCCAAACTTAGGTCATCTGGTATGGCGGTTTTCAGCCGTATTAGTGGACCCTCCAAGTAGAATACTACGAAAATGGGAACGCGACAATGTCTTCATTAATGGTTTATGGCCTGCATTGTCACACCATATTCTTAATCTTTACCATCGTCAGTGGTTTGTCGTTGAATAGGAAAGAAGAGAATGAATAGAGTCATGTTTTTTCTTAAGAGTTCGTGTGTGAGGAAGTTCTAATTGTTCCTTTTCAATTGGGATGTCAGACCTTCTCCACACTATATTAGTAGCTTTAATCCGAAACACTGACAATGTAAAGTTAAGTGACTTCTTGGGTTAGTAGTGTTGTTTCGTGTAATTATGCGACCGTTTTTAAGTAGTATTGGTCTTGAAGGAAACTATAAAGATGTATTTATTTAATGGCGAAATTCAAATTGGTTAGTGGCTCTTTTGAGGAACTAAATTTACGCGCGCGAATTGGGGATAATTTTTGATACGCAATTTTGTCAAAATATTTCGATGTAAAGAAGAATAATACTCCGAGCTTAATTTATAGTTTGCGATTAATATCTCTTCGTGGAGAGATGACTCTCAATTTGTCGGTAGGTTGTATTAGGTTATCACTGGAAAGCATGATATTTGATAATAATTATATGCATACTATGATGCCCAACTAAATGGTGCAGAGGATAGGAGTCAAAGATAGGTGAATCAGAGTAAGAGACAAGTTAGCACGTAAAAATTTAGGTAAAGAAAGAGTCTAGTGGCTATCCATGGGGACACATTTAGACAATGGAAAAAACGGCAACCGCTAAAGACTTTTCTTTTAGCATTTACCAATTCTAGAAAGAAGACTCCAGGAGAGGCGTTATTCCCTTAGAACCTCAATGTTGGTTTTGATTGTCATCACAAATTCTACTCGCCAGACAGATCTGCACCCTGGAGGAGGATAGGTTATCGACTCACCATTGCTTTAAAAGAAACGACTCCGAGAACCATAGTTGTTGAACCCCGTGCCATCCGCCTCAGTGAAAGCTCTGGACCTGAAATATTACAAGCCGAAATTGAAGAATCTTCGATAGGGGCTTATTGAGCGATAAGCCGCTATAGACAAGGTGACGTTGTATAGGTGGCCAGAATGAGGCAAATAGCCTTACCAAGGGTAATTTCCAGGGTTCCAGCCTTGCTTAACTATTCATTTAAGCGGGTTGGAAAAAAGGGTGTAGAGGGCGTTTCTGACGCTTCCTTACATGGGGAATTTAATTTTGTTCCACTAGACTTGTTCTGCAGTTCGAATGTTTCTAACTCTTATCCGTCGCATACACTTTGAAGTGTGAACCAGTGTACACTACCACATACCATAATAAAGACTGACATATAAACCAATACGTGTATTCCGCAATAATCCTGTCTCCGTACAATATCCAGGCTGTGTTTAATATCAAATTGAGTATCACATTGTTTAGAAGTTAGAAATAAGAAAACACAAAAAAGTAGTATAATGCAAAAGCGGATGAGCACGATCAGTGTTAAAGAGTGGATAGTAATTTTTTTTATCCTTGCGTCAACTAGAACTCGTAAATCACAATTCCATTCGCTCACATATACTGGTCAAGTTTCCAAAATAGGGTACCATATGATTGTAAGTGCTTTAGAAACCCCAAAAGCAATATTGTACGTAATATATAAGGGGATGGGATACTTCCGTTTATTCATTAAGGGTTCTCGCCCTTTAACTTTAGGGATATTTATCTAGAGTGAATTATCAAAATAGACATAATAAGTGGTAATTGTATGATGGATACGTGTACTATATTGATTTCGTCGTCTGAACATTAACTCTGAGCCGACCAGTACACAAGATATGGGGATTGAGTGTCTGTCATGGACGAAGCACTAGTTTAAATTGCACTTCATGTTTTCATGCAAAAGAATTAATCCTATGCTCTGAGGGACTGGTGTGCCAGTTTTTTACAAACTCCAGTAGCAGTATTTTCATTAGACTATACCAGAGAAAAAAACATCTATTGAAGTGGGACCAAATTGGACTCGAAAGAGCCAACAATGACAGAATTGTGTGAATCTCTTCTCCACTCAAGGTCTATGTACGATATATATCCGATGCTATAGGCCAAATTGTAAATGAATCCCAAATGACACACCAATTAAGACTAGTATGAGAAAAGAGGCAAAAAAATCCCTCCAGCAGAATCAAAGTGAACCAAACAGTCAGCTTAGATATGGTCTGATCGAAACAAAAATCATTCACGGTGAGGCATGAAATGCCTCAGTGAATTAACCACAACACCTGGCACTTTCTCTCTATGGGCTTGGTCTCTTATGGATACCAATCTAATGGTCCTCGTGCGTTCATACTTATTGCCCACTTCAAATGCCTCAATAGAGGGAATGAAAGAACTGCCTCGTGTCGAGCTAGACGGATAGTTTCATGTTCAGAGTAAACGCACCTAATATCGATGGATGTATCCATTTGAGAGGTGTGAATCACCTAACAAGGCCTCACACATAAAGGTCTGAAATTACATATACATCATGCGCAAATTTATTTGAAACTCATACTTAACATGACTTAGAGCACGATGTGGGCTAACCACTGAATAGAGGGCCGACAAGGGTTGTCGAAACAAATCTCACTGAACCAGAAAACAACTCACAGGGCTGTTTCAAGCTTCCATAATCAATGCCTCAAAGAGGAAGCCCCGTAGCGTAGATATTCAGAAACGCAGCAAAGGAAACTCTGGCGAACAGAGGGCACCACTGAAGGCCAAGAACACACTGCAACTCACTGGGGTTGCACTGCTCTCGCCAAAGGAGAAGGTTCAAAAGCAAAATACCCATAACTGCAGCAAAGGTGCAGTACCAAACCCTAATGCAATAAGGAATCATTAGAAATTCAATGAAAATTACCTAAAACAATTGTCACAACAAAGGAAAAAATAGGTTTCCTTAGCAAATTAACGCAACAACAGTAGCAAAAGACTGCCCGACACAGCTGCAACAGAATCGCAGCAAACAAACCTATTGAATAAGCCCAAGAATGACGATGCAACTCACTGGGTTGCACGTCTCTCTCTCTCAAGTCAACGCCGAGAGAGGAACTGGAGTTGAAAATAAAGTGACCACGACATGCCCGCCAACCGCATGAACCAAGAGCAGGAAGAAAGAGATACCCAAAATTTCAAATTAACCTTTTTCAATGCAAACAGAGCAAAAAGTAACCTGAAACGCCAAATTGACAAAACTGAGAACGCTCCTACCAAACTTCGCCGGATTTCGGAAAAAAACAACACCTGAGTAGACTGCTTCAAAAAGTAACCTGAAACGCCAAATTGACAAAACTGAGAACGCTCCTACCAAAACTTCGCCGGATCGGAAAAACAACCACCTGAGTAGACTGCTGACATGGAAATGAAGCCAGAAGACTATTTCCGATCGCCGAAAACAGCCGGACGCGCCACCACGCGCCGGTGAGTGGTACTGTCACAGAAAACAGAATCAGCGCGTGAGGCCCACACTCAGGGAATCCGGTGGCCGGATTTGGAGGGAACTTCGGTCGACAGCTGGAGAATATCTTGAGGTCGGTGGTGAGACAAAATACTAACCCTAGAAAGGCTTCCTAGGGTGGCAAAGGCTTCTCGCAACGGAATTTTCAGGAAATCTCTCTCTCTCTCTTTTTTTTTTTTGAATGGAAGGCTCTGATACCATGTTAATAGAAAAATATTGTAGTTGTATTTCTTGTAAATCATCAATCGATTACATAGGTCTATATATAAGGAATTCCTATGCTACCTAGCTATTTAGAAATACAAATCATAAACTAATTAAGAATACGTGTACTATATTGATTTTCCTTAATAGTCTGAAAACATATGTCAGCGGTAGTTACAAGTGAGATAGATGTGTAACTAACCTCTAAAACTAGTCAAATGTTTGCATTTGTGTGTGCCCATGAAAGAGGTTTGTAGTAGAGAAGTATTTTCCATGTGATAGCTCTGCAATAAAGATCCAAATTAAGCTGCTTTTTTAATTAATTGATTGGGTTTCTAGCTGTATCGGAACTACAATGTATGCTTGATATTACATTTTCTCTTTCTTCTTGGTAATTAATAGTGGAGAGATTGCTTGATCTGGAGCTAAATTATACATACCAAGTAGCATGGTTAGAATGGTGCTTCTACTTATTAATTATCTGAGTTTCAATTTCTTGCTTTGCCCTTTACCTAGCATGCATTCTTTGACATTTTCTAAAGTTTCAGAAAAAAATTACTCTTTTTTTTTCTGCTATGAATGAGAAAGTTCATTTTGATTCTGTTGCAGCGAGCTTCTTACTGGTGTTGTCCCATATACTGACATTCGTGCAGAAGCTCAGGTCAGATACACTTCTGTTTGGTATTTTTTTGTTGTTGTTTCTTTCTCTCTTAAGATATGCTGAATCTCAGTCATTATGTTTGAGTTTCTCGTGTTTCTATGTTTTGCTATGTATAGAATTTGATAAGTGTAATCGGTATTCCATTTTGTAGTTATCATTAGCACATCAAATTGAGTTGATACTTATTGATGTGTTTCTGTGGTATTTCTGAAACTGAACCTATTCATAAGTACTCTCTTACTATCTACATATTTCAATTGTTATTGACCCCATGTGAGACGTTCTTGACAAGGATTTGAGCTTTCATAGCGAATCAAAAGGATTGTGCTCTATTTGACTAAAAGGACTTAAAATAAGACTGAAAATGAAAATTAAAATGTGTCCAACGGGACATGTGGTCTGCCTTTTACAGAAAATCTGAAACCTAAAGTTATGAATAATGTCTCTGCATACTTAAGTGGCAATCCTTCCTAAAAGAAACATGACAATTATGAATCATTAGTGACTAAACCCTAGCCAAGCTCCTGAGTAAAAGCTTCTTTGGACGTGTCAAATCAACATTGAGCATTTGGATCAGCTTTGGCACACTTCTAAAACACTTGCTGCCGCAATTTGTCATTATTAATGTTGTAACAACTACTTCAGATAAGAGAGAGAAAAAGACAAAAAAAAAAGAAGTGGAGATTCTGCATAGTTGGATCAGTTAGCAAATTGGAACTAAAATGACAGAAGCCCACAAATGCTGTTAGGTTGGGAAAATCTCAACCGACAAGCAATTGATGAGTAGTGTTATTAGAATCCTATGATTTGTGATGGGTGAGTCGGAATCGAGCATGAATATTAAGATTCATGCGATTCAAATCTTACGATTTGAGTTGATTCTCGTGTCCAACGATTCTCATACCCGACAAAACAAGTGGAAAAGTCAATGTAGATGAAAAAGAGCTAGTGGATGTAATTTTAGAAAATGAAGATGATAAAGGGCTTGAATTTGGAAATGGTAATGAATGAATATGGATTTGGATATGAAATTTAATGGCTTGATAGTTTTACTTTGTTTTTATTTTAAATTTTAGCTTAAATAGTTAGATATTTTGAACTTGGAAACTAAATAGTCGTTGGGTTCTCTTTCATTTTGCGTTCAATACATGATTTGAAATTGAAATTTATGTAAATACATTTTTTGCAATTAAATTTAAGTATCTTTTGATAAAATTAGAGGAAAATATATCCATAAATTTATATAAACTATTTTTAATTAATTTTGAAAGTTGTACTAAATCTCACTATTAATGAAAGTTAGAATCCTATTTGTATATAGCATGTACTTAGAGATTTATTCCTAAGTAGTCTAGGAGTTAGAGTCCTAAATAGTTTGAAATATCTTGTGTGTGTATATATAATGAGTCCTAAATAGTTTGAAATATTCTTGTGTGTGAATATATATATTAATATAATATATATATATATATATTTATTATATTTATTTTCTCATTCATTTGATTGAAAGAGATAACAATAACAACATTTTCCTCATATATTTGTCTCCATCATTGATGAAAAGATAACAATAACAACATTTTCCTCAACTAACAACATGGTATTAGAGCAACCCAAATTGAATTTTTCTTAGACAGGAAAATTTGGGGCTGTTTGTTTTGAAAAGTTACTGCCACTCTAGGGTTGGCCTTTTGTCTCACCGCCCCCCTTGAGAAGTTTCTCCAGCCGTCGATCAGCGCCCCCCTAGAATTCGGTCACTGGATTCCCTGTGTGTGGCTCTCACGCGTCCCATCTATTCCAGAATACCGATCTATGCGCTGGCACATGTGTGCATGTCCGACCATATCTATGCACTGGGTTTGGCTCTTCGATGTCGACTTGAGGTCAGCAGTCCACTCCGGTAGTTATCTTTCCAATCTGGTGAAGTTCTGGTAGCTTGGTTCTCAGTTTGTCTTTTCTAGGTTACCGCTGTCTTGCATTTGCTTTTGCTTCTATTTGTGTTAAGTTGTCAAGTTAGGTTACTATTTTTGTGCCGTGCCTTTGTGTTGTGTTGGGAATTTGATTTTCATAATTACCGAGACTAAAGTTGTATTACCGAGATAGTTAAAACTTTCAGCCAGTTGTAGTTGTTTCACCAATTTGTCCGAGATGAAGTTATGTGAAGCTCCACTGTCAACCATAATTATAGTATCATGAGTAGCAATATGGCCAACAAGCTTCATGGTCTTAGGCCCTGAAATCCCTCCAGTGGAATACATAGAGAGTACGATGTTTTAAAATGGGCCTCATTCCATTCTACTAGGGTAAGCTCCTCTAGGGTTGCCTCCCATCTTTGTTAATTGATCTTCAGGTGGTAATACTTCATCATTGCCAATAATGAGAGCATGCAAGGATCTATTGGGGGCATTCATGTAATGGAGAATAGGGCTTTTACATTTGAAGCACAACCCCTTTGCTCGAAGATCCTAGTATTCTTGGTGAGAATATTGGCGAACTGGTCTTGGTTGGAGGTTGGTGGTGGTGGTGGTTTTGTTGGCTGGAACAGGGAGAGGTAATGGTCGATTTGTGTTTGAGAGAAAACCAGAGAGAATACCCACCGAATAAACCTTTAAACACTATACTTGTGTGTTTGATTTTTCCTTTCAATGGCTTCCAGCAATGTTTCTATTTCACCTCCCCTTTTTAATGGTGAAAATTACCAGGTCTGGGCTGTAAATATGAGAGCATATTTGAAAGGTCTTTGCTTGTGGCAATATGTTGAAGAAAACAGAGCGCCGCCTCCTCTTTGTCAGAACCCAACTCTTCAACAAATCAGACAACATGAAGGAGAAATTGCAAAGGCTCCAAAAGCCTTGTCTTACATTCACGCTGTTGTTACAGATGCTATTTTCACTAGAATCATGGCATGTGAAAATGCTCATGAAGCTTGGGAGAAGCTGAAACAAGAGTTTCAAGGTAGTGATAAGACAAGGCAAATGCAAATCTTCAATCTGAGGAAGGAATTTGAGATGCTAAGAATGAAAGATACAGATAAGGTGAGAGATTATATATGTTAAGGATTAGTTGTAAATAGAGTTCTATTAGGAGTTAGATTCCTAATTAGTTTATGATTTGTATTCCTAAATAGCTAGGTAGCATAGGAATGTATTTCCTAAATAGCTAGGTAGCATAGGAATTCCTTATATTATAGACCTATTGTAATCGATTGTTGAGATTACAAAGAAAATATAATTACAATATTTTTAATCTCTCAACATGGTTATCAGAGCCTTCTATTGACAAAAAAAAAAAAAAAAAAACAAAAACAAAAAAAAAAACATAAACTTCCCTTAAACTTCCCTTACGAGAAGCCACTGCCACCTTAGGAAGCCTTTCTAGGGTTAGTATTTTGCCTCACCGCCCACCCCAGGATATTCTCCAGCCGCCGATCAGCGACTCCCTAGAATCCGGTCGTCGGATTCCAAGCGAATGGCCACCACTCACCACCTCTTTCTTCCTGCTCTGGTTCACGCGCTGGTGCATGTCCAATGGTCTTTTTCACTCCAGTTCCTCTCTTCGACGGTTCCTCTCTTCGACGTTGGCTTGAAGAGAGATGTGCAACCCAGTGAGTTGCATCGTCATTCTTGGGCTTATTCAATAGGTTTGTTTGCTGCGATTCTGTTGCAGTTGTGTCGGGCAGTCCTCTGCTACTGTTGTTGCTTTAATTTGCTGAAGAAACATATTTTTCCTTTGCTGTGACAATTGGTTTAGGTATTTTTCGGTGATTTTCTAGTGATTCCTTTTTGCATTATGGTTTAGTATTGCACCTTTGCTGCAGTTACGGGTATTCTGCTTTTGAACCTTCTTCTTTGTTGATTGTCGAGAGCAGTGCAACCCCAGTGAGTTAGCATTGTGTTCTTGGCCTTCAGTGGTGTGCTCTGTTTGCCAGAGTTTCCTTTGCTGCGTTTCTAAATATCTGCGCTACTGGACTTCCTCTTTGAGGCATTGATTGTGGAAGCTTGAAACAGCCTTGGGAGTTGTGGGCTTCCTCTTTGAGGCATTGATTATGGAAGCTTGAAACGGCCCTGAGAGTTGTTTTCTGGTTCAGTGAGATTTGTTTCGACAACCTAAGTGTGTTGTCTTAATTCTGCTGCTACTATTTGGTTTGGATTCTATATTACTATAATGAAGTGGGTACAGTTGCTGAGTATGGTATTGTGCTTTGCTGAAAGTAGTAGTTTCCAACTTGAGGGGGAGTGTTAAGGATTAGTTGTAAATAGAGTTCTATTAGGAGTTAGATTCCTAATTAATTTATGATTTGTATTCCTAAATAGCTAGTTAGCATAGGAATTCCTTGTATATAGACCTATGTAATCGATTGATGAGATACAAGAAATACAATTACAATATAATCTCTCAACAATATAGATCGAATCATGAAAATTGTTAATCAGATCAGATTGCTGGGAGAAGAATTGGAAGAGAAGAGAATTGTGGAAAAGGTGATGGTAACTCTCCCCGAAAAATTTGAAGCAAAGATTTCTTCTCTTGAAGACACATGGGACATGTCTTAGCTCTAACTGAGTTGGCTAATGCTCTCCACGCTGTTGAGCAGAGAAAAGCTTTTAGAGAAGAAGATAGTGTGTGTATGATTTTCTGGCTGGCCTGAATAACGAGTATGATCAGATTCGAGTCCAAGTTCTTGGACGAGATCCTTTTCCATCCTTGCGACAAGCATACTCATTTGTACAGCAAGATTTGTACAGCAAAGGAGGGACTAGGAAGGAACGCAGTATGGTTTCATACAGATCTACCATTGGACAAAGCAGGGTGATGCTTAACTGCCAGAAGAAACATATCCAGGCTGAAAGAAAGTTCTTTTCAGATAGAGATTCAATTATTTTGTGACTATGTAGTCAGAACAGGCACAACCAAGGAGTTCTTTCTGGAAATTACGATTGGTACGCCCAACTAAAGGGCGTGGAGGAAACGGGTCAGTTTCTTCTTAGGACCACAGGCGCACATATCTTTAAATAGTGGAAGCTTTATCTGAGGGAACCATCTACTGCTGGAAGCTTTTCTTGAAGGAGAAATACGTCCCTTGAAACGGATTATTGTCACAGCTTATTCTTCCTTCAAAAAAACTTCAAGGAAATTCAGTCCCTAAAATGATTGTTGTCATAGCTTGATTCTTCCTCAGCTTAGACTGCAGCCTCTAATTTTGTTAATTCAGGTAATGCTTTTCTTACCTTTCTTGCAAAAATTGCAAAACCTTATTGGGTTATAGATTCAGGAGCAAATAAACATACAACAGACTCTATAAAACATTTTCTCACATATTCTAAGTATCAAGGCATAGACAAAATTCGCATTACGGATGGCTCCTTAGTACCGATTGCTGGCACAGGTCCTATTGACTGTATTTCCAATATTAAACTCTCCTCTATTCTTCATGTTCCTAGATTCCCTATTAATTTGTTATCTGTTAGCTATATCACAAAAGCGCTTAATTGCAAAGTAACCTTTTACCCTACTCATTGTATATTTCAAGAGCTGAACACAGGGAGAACGATTAGCAGTGGTAACTTGCGCGATGGACTATATCTGTTAGATGACATTTGTCGTTTTTCAAATCTGGGTACTAGTCAAGCTTTGTTAGGAACTTCTAGAAATCCTTCCCATGAAGATATTCAATGGCATAGGAGATTAGGACATCCCTCTTTTCTGTTTTAGGACGTTTATTTCCCACTTTATTTGCTAAGTGTGATTTTGATTCATTAGTATGTGTGATGCTTGTGAACTTGCCAAACCACCAGGCATTCTTATTTCTCCGATTAATATAAAAATTTGATTCCTTTTGCCTACTATTCCATTCTTGATGTTTTGGGGTCCTACTACAAACTGTCTCTCTTTCTGAAGTATATAAGATGGTTTTTGTGACCTTTATTGGATTGTTGCACTAGACTAGATTGACTTGGGTTTATTTGATGAAAACAAAAAATGAAGTTTTTTCGTGTTTTCAGAATTTCCATAAAATGATTTGTACTCAGTTTGATGCTCATGTTAAAGTCCTAAGAACTGATAATGGTACTGAATACATGAATGCAGATTTTCGTACCTATTTAGATTCTAATGGTATTATCCATCAGACTAGTTGTGTCCATACTAGTGCTCAAAATGGAGTAGCAGAAAGGAAAAATAGGCATTTACTGGAAGTAGCTAGGTCCCTTATGTTCACTATAAATCTTCCCAAACCATATTGGGGCTCAGAGCGATGCTGATCTACTTTAATTCATTAAACTTCATGAAGGTTAAGATCACGTTGTTTATTGTTCTATGTTGTTTTATGATATAGTGTGACTGGAAATATAGAAATAATGAAGAAGAAATGAATCACTTGAGAAATTTGTTAGCTAGGGAGTTTGAGATTAAGGATTTGGGAAAGTTGAGATATTTCCTTGGGATAGAAGTTGCCAGGTCAGAAAAAGGGATTTTTATTTTTCAGAGAAAGTATATCCTTGATCTCTTTAAAGAAACTGGTAAGTTGGGATGTAAACCTGCAGAATCACCTATTGAAGCTAATCATAAGCTTCAAGCTGGATTGGGAAGTTCAGTTGACATTGGCAGGTATCAGAGATTGGTTGGGAGATTGATTTATCTTGCCCATACTAGACCAGATATTGCCTATGCTGTAAGTTTAGTGAGTCAGTACAGCAGTACATGCATGATCCTCGGCGACGTCTCATTTAGAAGCAGTGCATCGAATTCTGAGGATATTTAAAATCCAGACTTACAAGTATGAAGCGAACTTTTATTTTCTAAAACATTGGCCATTTTAAACAATAAACAGGCTATACAGATTGCAGATTGGGCTGGTTCCTTTTGATGACCAGGGAGATCAACCTTCAGGTTATTGTCGTTTTGGGGAAACCCTTGGTCACATGGAGGAAGCAAGAACAGGGCTGTTGTTGCAAGGTTCCAGTGCAGAAGCCTGAGTATTGAGACTATGCACAGGGAATCCAATTATATTTTTTTTTTAATTATTAATTTTTAATTATTTTTAAAAATAAAAAAATTTCTAAAATTTATCACTGTGAAACTTTCTATTGGTTGCGCAGATTAATTGGAAGAGTTAAAGTGGCTTTGAAACCAACAAATTATATCTTTGTTTTGTGATAGTAAAGCAATACCATCAGTATTATGAACAATCCATTCCAGCATGATCGAAACTTTAAACACATGAGATATGATCGTCACTGTATAAAAGAGAAGATAGTTGAAGGTGTATTAAGCGTCTCCTATATAGCTTCAAAAGAGCAACTACTAGATGTTTTTTCACAAAGGGTTTGCATAGCAAGTTGTTTCATCCTTTTAGTTTGCAAAGTTGGCATGAGTAATATCTATGCACCAACTTGAGGGGAAAGTGTTGAAATCCTTTTGATGATTAAATGTAAATATTGTGATTTCCTAGTTTAGGTTTATTCCTAATTAGTGTAAAGATTTATGTTTCCTTAGTTTAGGGATATTCCCATTTAGATTACTTCCTATATTGGAACAATTTCTTGTCATACTAATATAGTGAGTACTGAGGTTTGAAAATAATAGTGGAGTAGAGGTTGAAAATATTATCACAAATTGAAAGAAATAAAAACACAGTCTTTCCTTTAATTTCTACATGCTATGATAATCTCCCTTCTCTTTTTCCGTTCTATCACCAGCAAGCTTCTTTCCTCTTCCACTTGACTGAAATTTGCTTTTTTGACTAGCAAATAATGCACTTCCACTTGAATCCTCAAGTCTGTAAGCCTTTCTTTGGTCTACAGTTTGTAAAGAATTCACCAACACAGCCAAAGACATTTGAGATAAGGCTTCTGACTCCTTCAAAGAGGAGATTTTTGACTAAAATTTTTTTGGGAAACTCACTAAAACCTTTTCAACCACCCTCTTCTCTGGTAGATCTTCCCCAAGCAACTTGATTTGATTTGCTTTTTTCATGAGTCTATCAGCATACTCTTTTACAGACTCATTTTCCTTCATTTCAGCAGCTCATATTCTCTTCTCAAGTTCAAAACTTGCATATGCTTGTTTTTTTCACTCCCATGGAACTCATCTTTCAACCTATCCCACGCTTCCTTGCCAGTTTCACAAGCCATAATTCTTGTGAAAATTGTTTCTGTCATAGCAGAATGAATGAGGGACGAGGACTTATACTTTTCAGCACTTTCTTCTGAATGGTGCTTCATTTCAGCCATAGTGGAGAATCATTTCGTGTTTCCACTACTTCCTAGAGATTAAGGCCTCTCAAGTGGTCTTCAATTCCCAAAGCTGATAATTTTAACCATCAAACACTGGTGGTGGACCAGTTCCAAAACTATTTGAAGCAATAACAAGGTTGAAACGTATCTGGTTTGTGAAAGGGAATCCAACTGGTTTTCTCTCCTCTGTTTCTCACTACACAGGCATCTCAAAGATCAGAGATGGCTCTAATACCACTTGTTGGAATGTGAGAACAGCACACACACTTGAAACTGAATAAAGAGGAGCTGTATTTCATATTCATTGATAAACTTATATATACATCGGTTATAAAAAGCTTTCTTTTACAGTCAACACTTAACTTCCTTAATTAAGGAACATGCCTCCCTAAGTTAATTCTTAAAGCATGCTACACCATTCACTTAGGAAACTCTAGATTTTTTCAGACAAAATGCAGATTTAATAATAACAAAAAAAGCTAATCAAAATATCAGCTAATGTGACAGCAATAGTGTTACAGCAGACATTCTTTCAAAGATATATATATGTATATATATATGCACAGACAAGCCTGTCTAAATAGGAAATTGTAGAAAAGGAAAATACAGAAAAATCGCCCTAAATTAATTCTTTAAGATACACAAAATCACACAAGTCAATGCTATTATATAATACAAGTCTGATATTTATTTACTGAAGATATGTTGCGTGGTTTTCCCTACTTGAGATATGAGAAAACCTAACAATAGAAGATGTGATCTTATAAATTGGTATTTAGATATATACTGCATATAACCTTCAATAATATATTGGATATTTTTCACTTAAGTTAGAACCGAACATTTCATTTACATTGGATGACTTTTTCTTAGAATTGGAACTTGCAACTTATAGCATTTGATAGGTGTAATAGTAATATACTTAGAAACAAAACCAAATTATATTATTTCAGTCTGTTTTAATTCAGTTTTATTTCTCTAACGATTTATTCCAGTTTATAAAATCTTCAAACCTTCATTTATAGTTTGGTTTAAAAATTCTTTTAAACACCCTAAATTAGACTACATACACAACTCTCAGCAGCAAATTACAATCTTTGGTTTGACTCCTCAACTGCATGCAGGCCCACACTGTCCTGGAGATGAAGTATACGGAGCAGCAACTTACTGCAGCTGTTGTGTCTGGTAAACTGCGACCTGTTCTTGCTGGTCCCAGGTCAGGGGCATCAACAAGTATCCTGTCTTTGATACAGAGGTGTTGGGATGAAAACCCTGAAAATAGACCTTCTTTTACTGATATTGTTTTGGAACTTGGCCCCATTTTGGAGCATAGGAAAAAATCAATTGAAGAAAATTTGGCACTTGGTGAATCTTCTATTTTACAGGATGATCAGCTTATTGACGGTGTCAACAACAGTCGAATATTACATGAGAGTGTCAACTGGTCCACTCAGGGAGAACTATCATCAAAGAAAGCTTCTCTAGTAGTTAATTCTGGTTTGAGAAATTGGGTTGATTATTTATATGATCCTTTGGCTTATCATCCAGTGCTTTCTTGGGGATCCTTTGCTACATGCGGAAGAAGGGAAACTATGGAGGATATACACTTCCTTATGCCTCAGATATGCAATGAAAAGGATATCCATTTTTTTGCTATCTTTGATGGTCATAGAGGTGTGTTAAGGAACCACTTTCAATACTGATGGTCTATCAGACTCAATTTTAGAAGAATGTTTTACTAGGAAATTAATTTGGAGATCTTAAGACTAATTTATCAGTTAATATGTATGAACATCTCTGATAAAGTTATTCCCAGCTAAAGAAAAATAGAAAAGAGCAGATCATTTTGGGATCATTTAGAATTGCAGGATGATCTTTCTTTAGAAAGTTGCTTTTGGGCTTCTTACTTCCCTTTTTCTCTCATGGAAGAAAATTCTTGAGAACTGGGCTTACTTTGAGTGGAGAACTTTAAATTGAAAAATTTTTTTTGAGAATTCAATTACGTTCTATTGGAAAACAAATTTTCTTGTACATGAGAGTGCCAAAGAATCAGTGTAACATAATTAGCCATTGCTTTAATTACTAAGAAAGCATGCAAAAAGAACTCCACATGTTGAGTTGCCATGTGATTATGTCATAGAAACCCTTTTTAGGTGGAAATGAGAAATGGCAAAGCGTAAAATTCTGTAAGTTTAGCAGAGAGATTCTCACACTATTTATAATTTTCTAACAGGGATTAGAATCATTCTTGTGCATCATGTTTCTCAGTTCATTTTCTTACTTAGTAATGGAATAAATGTGGCTGGATCAAATGCAGGTGCAGCAGCTGCTGAGTTTTCAGCTCAAGCTTTGCCAGGATTTCTGCAAAGTTTAGCTTGCACAAGCAGGTTTGTTCTTCTTTTGGAGGCTTTTTTCTTATTATATTTCAAGCTATAAGATATGTGTTCTTGAAGTAATCAAATTCTTTGTGTAAATGCAGTCCTCATGATGCATTACTTGAAGCATTTGTTAGCACAGATGTCGCATTTAGAAATGAACTAGACTCTCTTCGTAAATCAAAGGGATTTATTAAAGATTGGCACCCTGGTTGTACTGCTGTTGCTTCTTTGATAATTAGAAACAAGCTGTTTGTTGCCAATGCTGGTGATTGCAGGACAATTTTATGCCGGGCTGGCAATGCCTTTCCTCTTAGTAAGGTCAGGGTTGACATGAACTGGTTTATGGAATTCTATTTTATAAAATCGAGTCTTTATCAAAACTATGTCACTTCTATACATCAGGATCATGTTGCAAGTTGTCCTGAGGAGAGGGAACGTGTTGTTAGAGCAGGGGGACAAGTTAAATGGCAAATTGATACTTGGAGGGTTGGTCCTGCTGCACTCCAGGTTTTCCCCTTTACCTTGAATCAGCTTTCTAAGATTCCGTGATCAATAGCATTATTCCTCTAATTGAAGTGGTATTCTCTGGTTTTTTGTGCACATTGCGTGGAAGAAGATCAATATGTAATAAGGTTGCTTTATTGATAGAAAAACAACCTTTTCATATAATGATGGAAAGCAAAATTCAAGTAAAAGAATAACAACAACAACAACAACAATAAAGAAACCTTGCTATTGAATCTGATATACCCATTCTGCCTCAGAAAATCTGATCGACTTTTTAAGTTTCCCCAGCAAAAGAGATTGATCCAAACACAGTCATTTCTTCGCTATTTGCTCTTTGTAGAGGAGTAACAGTTATTCAGTGCTTAAAATTCCTTTTTGGATGTAAAAGTTCATTTTCGTAAAATTACTGTATATTAGATTTGCAGAGTGTTTTTATGAGGTATAAAATTTCCTTGCAGAGAAACAAAAATGCTGTGCATAATTTTGGTGAGCTTTCTGATATACCAAATATCTGGAATTCAAAAATTAAATGCATGGACCTGCAATTAGAACAAATCAGATGAAAATCTATGACAATAAAATATTATAGCAATAAAATTTGAACTCTGTTCCCTGAAGGACAGTCTTGAAAAATTATGAAAAAATTTCTATTATTAAAGAATTCATTGAAATAGAACTTTAAAGTTCAAGTTTTGATGTTCCAAAGAACAGAAAGATTTTTGGGGAGATCAACGAGATCAAAAGAAAATAATAGGGAAAACAGAGTTGGCATTTTTTAAATAGAAGGGTCTTGTTTGGCTGGATGTGTGTAATGGAGAACTTGCACAATCCATGACTGAGAAACGTTTATTAATTATTGTGCTTTTCTTCTTCTTCCTTCTCGTTCTCTTCCTCTAAAAGTTTGATTAATTTATTTCTTAAACCAGGTCACTCGCTCCATTGGTGATGATGATCTAAAGCCTGCTGTATCTGCAGAACCCGACATAAGTGAAACTACTCTATCAGCAGAGGATGAATTTTTGGTAAGGATCATTATTTTAATCAGGGATGGCTTATTGCTTATAATATACAGGGTCTATTTGAGAAATCATGTTTTGGATAAATTGATACGGTCAAATAAGATTGAAAATAAAAGGAGTATTGCTACTCAAATGTATTCTACTTGCATCCTTTTCAGGTAAGGCATAGCAATTGATCATATAAATGAATCTTAAATGAGTTCTTGGTATTTGTGTTTTTTATATTTTACAGATCTGTCTCCATGTTGCTGAATTTAAAAAGTCTTAAAAAAAACACTTGCAATGCCTGAGGCTTCTTGCAAATATAGTTTTCAACAGAATTAACTTGAAAGTCTAGTGCAAAACCTCAAATGTAACTAGTTTCACTAGTTGACAGATACATACATATGTCTTGAGTTTTAAGTAACCCATCTTTAGGATTTTTTCCGTTTCTAAATAGGTTCTTATAATAACTTACCGCTCAATATTTTTGGAGTTATTTCATGATTCCAATCAGTAATGCTTCCTTCGGAATTATTCTCTGCAATTCTCAGGTGTGATGTTGAAGAATCTTGGGTATGATCTGAATTTGAGTATTTTCATTTTTGTTTGATTGAGCAAGTAATTTCATGGAAAGTCATTTTTTCTTTTTCCCTCCATAGAATCCTTGAAACTTTTCATTGAAAATCCTAATTAAATCTTTGATTTGAATGGTTGAGTAGTTTCCTACAAAATTGGGTTTATTTTTTTGCTCTTGAACTTTTCAAGTTATTTTTTTGCTTTATAGAACCTTGAACTTTATATTAATAATCTTTGTCAATCCTGAATGATGATAATAGGCACAGTAAGGTGCAGACCTGCAACTTCCAATAATATCTTATGCTGCTTTCATTTCTCCTCCTATTTGTCATTGATCCTCAACCCTTTTGCAACCGATTATCTTCGTCAAATCCTCTATGTAGACGCTCTCTAGTCTCCCATAACATCCCATACAAACTCCAACCCTTATGGGATTGAGTCTCAGTTCTCTCCAGTAGAAATTCCTTGTTTGAACAATTGAGAGCACTTGGGTTTTAATGTAGGATGAGATTTGCTAGAGCTAATTGTTGTTCTAATTATACAGTAGACAATTGCACTGTTTGATTTTCTATTTGAAACAGAAAAAATCCTTGCGTGGTTAATTATCAGGTCATGGCTAGTGATGGACTTTGGGATGTTGTGAGCAATGCTGAGGTGGTAAACATAATCAGAGACACTGTGAAAGAACCTGCTATGTGCTCTAAGAGATTAGCAACAGAAGCTGCAGAAAGAGGTAGCAAAGATAACATCACAGTCATTGTCGTCTTCTTGCGCCCTGTATCTACTGCAGAGAGAATTTACTAGTTCAAATGCAAATGCAAGTTGGGAACCCAGATTTGAATGCCTGTAATATGGTCGGACGTTATACAATCTACTGCTGATTGGAATTTGCTACAACTTTGTTGTTCCAGCCAGCCTCTACCAGTGCTTCAAATGTGTAAGATGAGGACAAAAAGTACAAGCAAAAAAATCTCTGCAGATTAGAAACAATATCAGAGCTTTTCTGTGAATTCAGGAGACACAAGTCAAACAGGATGGTGTTGAAAATTATGCGTCCTTTACTCATTCTTCATTCATTCATGTAATATCTATACATTTTTACCGTTATCGGATTAGAATTCGATAAAATTTAAAAATTTCTGTTTCAAATTTATCTTTTAAATAAAATTTATTTATTAGAATAATCAAATATTCATATATTTTCAATGGCTTAATGCATAAATTTGCTCTTGAACTTTCAATGTTTTTTCTAGTGGTGCCCTGAACTTTGCGCTTGGGGAAGGGGGGGTTCTATGATGACCCAGTATTTCAAATTCCTTCAATGACCTTGTCCTTGGTCATGTAGGATAAGGAGAGTGAAATCAAGTGCAAATCGGAGCGTGAGGGATTATTATTTGAGCCATGTCAGCCACGTAAGTTCTCCACCGTGGATAATGAACAACAGCTAAAGATTGATTTTGAAGAGAGAGAAAGAGCTTTCTCATTCCCAATTTATATCCATTATCGAAGAAAGAGAGACCATAATCCTTCTTCTTTTCTTTGAGAAAATTAGATGCTTTAACAAGTAAATTGAGCATTAAAGGCGAAAAAAATTGGTGAGTGAAGGAAGCTTGCTAGAAATAGGTAAGATTGGGTCATCACATTCTAAATCTAGGGTTTTCCTTAGTCATGGATTATCCCCTTGATAGCCCAATTTTAGAGGACAATTGTGGGCAAACTGCTCGATTGAAGATCTCATACACAGAATAGAATCCTAGAGGTCGATTCTTTTGGTGTCAACAATATGGGGTAAGTGGAGAATTTCATTGTAGCACATTCTATTAATTTGCTGGTAATTAAAATGCATTTTTGCTTCTTTTTCTCGTAAATACCTGTGTCCTGCAATTTCTTTTTAGTGACATGATCCACTAATGCCATATCATATTCAACACGTGATTTTGACTTTATTGAGGAAAATAAAGATGAATGAGGAAGAGAAGAGGAAATAGAGGAGGAGATCATTGAAGGTTGTATGTTATGTTGTTGGTGTTGTGTTGCGTTGCTGTTTGCTATGCAGGACAATAATGTTTGTTTCCTTGTTAGGTTAGGGAAATGTTAGTGCAGTTGCTCGATTAGGGAAATGGTTGTTAGAATGATGAAAATAGTGTTGGATATAAGGAAAGTTGTTTGATTTTGTGGAATTGAGGTCTCACTAGAAATAGTACCCACTGTGTTGATTTTGTGGAATTTTGATTTTATTGTAAGTCACTACCATGTACCTTATTATTCCTGAAATGCAATGAAATAGTCCTATTGCTTTTGAAATGTTATTGTCAATTATCTTTCAAATACACAGAAATAAAAATCTGAAACATATAGAATTGAAAATCTCAAACACACATAAAAGAGAAATAATTGTTCAAACATAAAATTGGATTGAGATAAAAATAAATAGGAATTACTAAGTTATCATTAAGTGGCAAAATAATTGTACAAACATTCCGTGCATTCTAGGAATGTGTTAATCTGATCCGATAAGCATAAATAGGGCAGATTATAACATAAAAAAAAAATAGTTCACAGTATCTGGATTTCTATACAAAATTCAAAATTAGTCCTAGTAACTAAACAGGTGGGTTGTTGCTAGCTTGTGAAGCTTGACTACTTTTACCTTTTCATGGAAGCTTGGAAATGTTGATGATCTACTGTTTGATCTTTGTGCATTTGCTCTATGTTGTTGCTGCTGGAGCCGTCTTGCTGTAACTGCATTTTTTCCTTTCCACTTCAATCCAGGTGCTTTAAATCCCAAATCTCCAGTCACGATAGCTGAGCTCCTAGTTCTTTTTAGTGCTGTAATAATTTTTGAGCCCGTAGTAACTGAAGACTGCATAATACAACAACAACATTGAGATATCATTGCATAATGACTTATTTTACCTAATTACATAAACATTAAAAAGCATAGTATACCTAGTATGTTGAAAGATCTAATGCTTTATTAATCTATAAACCAACACCTTTAGGATTACATTGCCTCTTTGCTTGTGAACTTACAGTTGGCTCCTCGAATCTTCTTTTGGTTTCAAATAGGGCATTTTTATCAGTTGCACCTCTGCCTTGGCTTGTACCATTTCCTCTTCCATTTCCTCTATCAGTTGCTTTGGCACTTCTTCTGCCATGTCCCCTACCACTAGGCATTTCATTATCACCTTGCTCAGAAATTGACACATTTTCTCTTCCAGCACCCCTTCCATTACCAGTTGCAGTATCTCTACTGTCTAATGATGGAGTCCTTACCATATAACTCAAAATTGTTGCTGTGCTTCTCACATTTGTGTCCGCAGTCATATCATTCACCCATTGTTAATAAATGCAATTTTTCACAACTAATACACAGTTCTATAATATTATATATTATATACCTCTTTTAAATGGATGGGTTGAAGTTGAGTTTGTGGGTGTCACACCAACTAGATTTGAAGATCCTGCTCCAGTTGCAAGCCTTGGTGTAGTGGGAGCTACTACTGCTTGTGTGTGGGCAATTGAACTTGTAGGAGCTAGTACATGTGAATGGAAAGTTGATGTTGAAGGAGCTGCATGTGATTGACCTGCTGTAGAATTTGGGGCAGATTGTGTCTGAGAAGCCTGACATTGAAAAGCAATACATAATCAAATTATTGTAAATAATTATTTTGTATTACATAGCAATATAATTTAACTGACATAGTACCTGAGGAGCTGTTTTTCCTTTGAAAGGGCATCCTCAGGTAGTTCTTGCCCTAGTGCTTTGTCCAAACCTTAAAATTAAGCAAATTAGAAGAAAATTGTTGAGTAAGTATATACAATTCGTGGAAAAAAAGTACAAAATGACAATTACAAGACACAATGCACTAAATGTAATAACAAGTAAGTAAATGGACAAACAATAATTAAAATGTTACCTTTTGAATGTCTGTGACTACTGTCCAGCCTAATCCAGTAGTGATCTCAAGGTCTTGCTTCAGTGTTGATATAAACCAAATCCAGTTCTTTGTATTCTCAATATCAACCATTGCCCATGCTATTGAAAACATTTGGTTGTTTCCATCCTTTGACACAGCCAATAGAAGTTGACCACCACGAGGTCCCTTTGGAAAACACCCATCCATGCCTATAATAGGCCTACAACCCATAAGAAATCCCTGCTTCAAAGCCTTAATGCACATATAAAACTTTTTGAACCTTTGTTTACCATCTTCAAGTCTTTTGCATTTAGCAAAGCATGTTGAACCGAGGTTAGATCTCCTAATCTCATCACACTAGTCATGTATTTTTGCAAATTCCAAATTATACTTCTCATTGCAGCACTAAGCACCTTGATCCTAGCCCTTCTTGTAATTGATTTACCAATATGAACCTAAAGTTGGTACTTGCATAAATTTTGTATGTCTCTAATTTTATTCCTGGCTGTGACAAGATCCTATCTCTAAAGTGCCTAGTAATGAAAGATGAATTGCAAAGTTTGTTTCTACTTGACCTATAGCATCTACGTGTTGGGTTAGAGGTCTTAATTATAAAGTTCTCAGAAGTAGAATCCTTTGAAGCAAAGAGAAGCTAAGGATAAACTTTTCTAGACTTAGCCCTAATTCTAGTAGGATCATCAAGCCTAATTGTAAGATCTACACCCCTAACTACAACATATTTACTTAGTGCCTCTCTACATTGTTGTACATTTATAAAAATATTTCCAAGTTCCCAGTATGGAACAACAGTGTTGGGGTCATAATGCAATCTCCTCTGCCTTCTACTCAAAGAGCTAGTTCCATCATCATCATCCTCTTCATCATCACCCTCTTCATCATCACTAACCTTACTGTTAGGATCTGAATTGTGTGGGTAAGGTTCACCACCCCTTGTCTTAACTAAATATTTGTCATTCAAGTGGTCTTCACCCCTAAATCCAGAGTCTGCACTATCTCTCCTAGAGGTACATCTTCTGTTTCTTCTCTAGCTGGTGCTCTATTTTTCCTTTTGAATTGCCTCAATCTTTCTCTAGCTGACCTCAACTCATCATTTACATCACTATCATTCTCTATATCTTCTTCCCCAACATTAGAAGCCTCATCATCTGCTTCACTACTACTTTATTCAACAGTGTAATCTTCATCTGCACTATCATCATCCTCACCACTATCACTGTCAGCAGTTGGAGCAACACTTATATTCTTGCCCTTTTCCATGTTTGCCCTTTGCACTAAATGGACAGTACCTTCATTTCTATTATTTTCCTCATTGTCAGGTGGTCCCCCCTTGCTATTACAATTTAGCCCCTCATTAATATTAACATTAACATCACTTCTATTCAATTCATCACTGACAATACCCTCTCTGCCTATCCTATTGACATCTCCCTCATTTGCATTAACTCCCTCTTCTACTTCCACACTGCCTATACCTTTTACATCTCCCTCATTTGCATTAACTCCTTCTAACCCTTCACTGTCTATACTATTTAACTGTCCCCGATGTCCACTAACTCCTTCTTCTAACCCCTCACTGCCTATCCTATATACATCTCCCTCATTTACATTAACTCTAGCTTTAACCCCTCACTACCTATCCCATTTACATCTCCCTCATTTACATTAATTCCAGCTTTAACCCCTCATTGCCTTTTCCATTCACATCAACTCCCTCTTCTAACCCCTCATCATTTACTACATTCTCTTGCCCCTTCCCAACTCCTTCACCATAGCCTAAAGTAGGGAATTCAATTACATTTGGCAAGTCCACTAAATGCTTAATAAAGAGATCCACAGTTGCACCATTTTCCATTACACCAAATGGATAAACTACATCATCATCACAGTCAAGCCATTGGAAATACTCCATTTCTCCATCTATGATGTGTTTGATACACCGACCTAGAAGGCTAGCATACCAATTGACACAATATGATTGCAGGATATCCTACTAGACAATTGGAAAAGACTAGTATTTCATAAGATCTACTCCATAGAGTATTACATGAACGAACATCAACTAAATAATTGCAATTGAGGATGGAGAGCAGTTCTTGAGATAGGATTCCATTTTTTCGCTTGGTTTATAAAGAATCCAGTTCTTTTTTATTGCAGCGTAATTTGAAACTCAACTTTTTTTGCATTTTTAAAACTTAATTTATATTGAAAAGAGCCTAATGTATAAATTTGCCATTAAACTTTTACCGTT